AGTGGGCTGAGTGGCTTCTGTGCTATTGAATCTATGGCTTTCCCAATCCTTAAACACCCTCCCCTGAACATTCTGTACACACAACTCTGACCTTCTACTTCCTTCAGTCCCATTGACAATTACACCTATTGCCTGTTTAGGCCTCAACCAGTGCAAAACACCACCCTAGAACACTATCACTTCACCACCTCCTCTTCTTTCAAATCCATCAATCAAGTTTTGGTGAAACACTCCTGGTGGTTACCAACTGATTGCCCTGATCGCATGCAACTCTGATCAGCAATTGCTGGGTCCTTATTTTGAGCCCACTAAAGGTTTCTGAGACTAATAAATCCCTTACTTATTAAATGAAAAGGTACTGGATGAAAGTATTTGCACCAACTGCAAGCCCCTTCTGACCAAGTCCAGATTCATGAAAGCTGTCCAGACTAAATGTTCAAGGGTTGGGACAAAGAAAGATGACCAAAAAATCATAGAATCTCTGCAGTGTGGAAGCAGGCCATTTGGTCCATCGAATCCACACCAACCCTCCAAAGAGTGCACCAGCCCCCACCCTGCAATCCTGTATTTCCCATGCCTAATCCACCCAGCCTGCAAATCCCGAGACGCTATGGACAATTTAGCATGGCTAATCCACCCAGCCTGCACATCTTTGGACTGGACAACTAATTCAAAAAGAGACAGGTTTTACTTTGATAGTGAAATATCAATGTGTAACTGTCCTGTAAATGTACTGATTGCAGATGAAGTCTGAGTCACTTTCTTTTTTATTGCTGCCATAGCTAGAACAATTTATCCACCTGTCAGTTTCACACAGTTTATGCAAAGGTTTATCTATGGAAATGGAAACTGTCTTAGTAAATTAAAAAGGAAAGCAACTGTGCAATACAGCACAATGCCAACCTTTCCTTTCTCAGTATCAGTTTAAAAATAATCATTTATTGTGAGCAGTTTGCAGTGCAATGAAAAAGAAATAATTTAGACCAAAGAGAACAATGTTAATTTAGTTCTAGGGGAAACAATTTTTGATTTGAAGAGTAAAAGGACAAACAATACTAAATGTCACTATTCTATTCCACCTTCGCACAGGCATTATCTTCTGGAAACAAGACCAATCAGAACAGGGAATAGCTGTGCCAATTTTGTACATTTCTTAATGATGAAGTGTAAAGCGTACATAGCAGACTGATTCATTTCCTTGAAAAAAAAAGACAACAGATTGACAGATGTTCATGAAGGGAGGGTGAAGTTTAACAAGAGATATAAACATATACAAACTTCTTCTGAGCCTGAAAACATATTACTCAATAAAAGAGATTTGCATTTATACAGTATCTTTCCTCACTACAGGATGTCTTAACGCCCCCTACAGCCAATTAATTATATTTGGAGTGCAGTCACTGTACAATTGCAGGAGATGCAGTAGTAAGTTTGCACACAGCAAGTTCCCACAAATAGCAACACAATGATGATTATCTTTTTTATAATGATTAGAGAAATAAACACTGGTCAGGTCAGGATAATTCCCCACTGAAATAGTGCCATGGTATCTTTTACATCCACCAAGATAGGTAAATTGGGTCGTGATCCAAAGCTGCATCTGAAAGACAGCACCTCCAATGCCGCTGCACTTCTTCAGTACTGTATGGAATGTCAATCTTTATTTGTGTGCTCAAACTCTGGAGTGGAACATGAAGCCACAGCCTTTTGATTCAGAAGAGGCAATGTTTCCAACTAAGCCATCACTACCAACTGTTAATGCCTACAACTTCAGAAATACTGGTATTCTTATCTACAGCAGAATTTCTAGTATGTACAACAGAACTAAACATAGCTCACAAGAATCACAACCAGAGGGCATGAATGTGATGCAAAAAGAAAGAAAGGACCCAAAAGGCAATGACAGAAAGAAATGTATGCATAGATGGATCAAGACGAGAACTGAGAAACACAAGAGTTAATTCTTTGTCCTGGTTGTAATCCAGTCGGTATTTGCATGAAAGCTATTTTAACTTTACGCATCAATGATATTCCCGATGGTGGCTATGTCCAGAACCAGGGGTTACAGTATGAGGATTCGGGGTAGACAATTTAGGACGGAGATGAGGAGACATTTCTTCATCCAGAGAGTGATGAGCCAGTGGAATTTATTACCACAGGAAGTAGTTGATGGCAAAATACTGAATGTATTCAAGAGGCGACTAGATATAGCACTTGGGACAAATGGGATCAAAGGTTATGGGGAGAAAGCAGGATTACACTATTGAATTGGACAATCAGCCATGATTGTGAAGAATGGCATAGCAGGCTCGAAGGGCTGAATGGCTTCCTCCTGATCCTATTTTCTATGTTTATATGGCAGCTCAATGGAGCTTGTAAGCAGAACTTTCCCAACTTAATCTACGACCAAACATCAGAACCATTTGCAGGTCAGGTATTTGAATGCTGATGGAGTAGCTTTTGCCATCGGAATGAAATGAAATAACATCCTGTCTCTGGGTTTTCTGGTTACTCAGGGCAGGTGGGTGGGAATGATGTGTTGAATCTGACATCTCCAGCATTCTCCTGAACAGCACTCCCATTAACCTTATATTACTGCTGCAATCAATCCCCCACCGCACCCCCCTTCCCCCTCACTCTCTCTCTCACACTCACTCTCTCTGTGGGCACCTTATGCACTATCAGAGCGGTTGCAATACATTCTCACCTTCAGCCTCATGCCCCTTTGCAACAAGTTTCACAGTTACCTACACAATCTAATAAGTAGTCACATATCCCCAAATTAACTTTTTGTAGGAGACAGCACACAAAGATTCAGTTTGGGAAACCCAGTTGGCTTGGATGAGTTGGGCCAAAGGGTCTGTTTCCATGCTGTGTGACTCCATGGTGGAGGGTGGCAGCTTTGCACTTGCCTCAGTTCCCTTTACAAGTTACTGGCAGGCCAGGAAACAAATGTCCTTCTTCCAAAATCCTGAACGGATGGTTCAAACAGGATTAATGACCAATTTCATCATTTTAATTAAATATTCAACGTTAGGCATGAGGATTCTTCACTTAGCTTTAATCCCACTCCAAAGAAATCTAGAACAAAATGTGATCCAGGTCCAATATCTCTTTTCAGGCAGCATCTGCAGTTCTTTCAGTTTTTATCACTTTTCAGGGATTTAAACCACCCCACAAGACACCCAAACCTGACTTATACTGCCTGAAAAAATTTCATCCTGCTGTGATGCATTTAGCAAATGAAAAGCAGTATGAAAGTCAGTCAAGATTTAGTGGGTATCACGCTTGCCCGAGTCAGAAAGTAAGTGCTCAACTCCAATGCTTCAAGCACCATATCAATACTGACACTCCGAAGAAGTATCATTGGTTTGCTGATTATTGGAGGTGATGTCTTGCAAACATCTACCCTTCCAGATTAAAGGTATGACCTCTCATTGTCTTTTCAGCGGTCTTATCCCCTTGTAAGCAGGCCAATATGTATTCCCACAATTAATATTATGTAAAATAAATGAAGAATATTTTGCTCCATTGCTGTTTGTAGGACCTTACTGCACAAAAGTTGGCTGCCAAGTTTTCTACAAAGGCATCACTTTCAAAAATTACTTGATTGGCTATAAAGTGGTTTGGAATGTTTTGATGTAATGAAAGGCACTACATAAATGCAAATTTCTATTTGAGTAAAACCACTAAAACACTACCATGATATCTCCACGTTTCGTATAATCTGTTCCACTACTGAGCCACACAAATCCAGGAATGTATTCTTTTAAGCCCAGAAGAATGTCACATTAGCACAGGTAACTGAGTTCATGATTGAAGGAAATAAAAATGAAAATTAAAAATGAAAAACAAGTCTGAGCGAAAAGTAAACTCACGATTGAAAAACCTGCCTTAGAAAATGAATGCGCGGATGTCTCCTGTTATTTACCTGTAACAGACCTGTTAAGCAAGTAGCTTGCCAAAGTGAGTATTTTTTTTTTTATTCATCATTCATTCACAGGATGAGGGCATCGCTGACTAGGTCAGCATTTATTGCCAATCCCTAACTGCCCAGAGGAAATTTGAGAGTTAATCATATTGCTGTGTGTCTGGAGTCACATGCAGGCCAGACCAGGTAAGGATGGCAGTTTCCTTTCAAAGGCTTCACAGTTATCCTTAGACTCTCAATTCCAAGATAATAGTCCAAATCTTTGTTAAAACTTTAAATAATGGTCTAATAATAATACCACTAGGCCATCACCTTCCAAAATCAGAGTAATCAGGTTCAAATTATAAAAAGCAATTTCGCAATTATAAAAACACCTCCAGAAGTTACCAAAAGACCAGATATTATATAAACGATCAGTTTCTCACTTAATATGACTCAAGTCTGACTGTCACACAAAAAGCATGATCAAATGTGATCCTCCACATTCTCCACTGAAGTTTTGTAAACTTTGCTCATAGTTAAGTTGAAATGAGATTCAAAGGAATGGTAATATTTTGTAGATCATCCCAGAATAATGGTTTGACAGATGAACCAATCTAATAGTAGGATACATACAGCATTCATTATCAAACCTAATGGCGTAAATTGAATTACAAAGATATTTTTACGGAAATGGTATTGATTATTCAGAAGAACTAAAAAAAATCCTAATTTCCAAACACTGACCTATAACCTGGATATTTATGCTTGAAGGTAAACTTGTATTAACTAAATGCTTCTTTAAGAATTTCTAATTGTCTCACAGGAAATGCTAGTAATCATCAAATCACATAATTAGTGCTGTCTTAATCTGAATAAATGTACTGGGCACTGGGAGCATTTTTTCCTTATTTTCTTTGCACAAAAAACTACAAAAGCAAATGTCAGAAAAAATATGCAAGTGGCATACTTGGCAAAGGAAAGCAGATAAGCTTTTAATGGTCCTGTATCAGTGAAACAAAATATAGCAATTATCCTCTGTCAGATCCTGTAAGGAAAAAATGATCCATCAGATGGCTACTGGACTCACCCATCAATCTGTTAAAACCAATATTCCTAGTGGGCGACTCATCCAATCCCTCGATTCCACTGTAAAGTGAATGCGAAATCCTTCGCTCTCTGTCGTCCATCACAGCATCTATAGGCAACTCTGGCCCAGAGGGGCTGCCAGGTGTCTCAAGCTGGGGAGAAAGTGAAAATCTACATTGAAAGACTATTTAACAGCATGGGGGAACATAACTAGCTGCCCTGGGCTTTCATCTGAGTGAGCACCCAATGAATTAGAACTCCTTACCAACATTCAAAATAATTTGCTATGACAGTCGTACTTAATGACTGACTTTCTATGCCACTTTGCACAATACCTCCCATGATGCCATACCAAACATCAACACCCCTGGAAAAAGTTGGTTTTCAGTTGTTTCAGTACAATTTTTTTTTTTTTTTTTAAAAGAAACTAAAAACCATCAGAATCTCACAAGTTATAAAATGCACAATCTACTGCATTTCTTTTTGCTTTCAGAAATAAGAAAACTACAGTTGCTAATGACAAGCCAGAATTTGCAGTCACAAGCTGATTTGACTTTTTTCACTCCCCCTTCTCAATCAAGGTACAAGAATTCTCAAATTCCATTCGGTTCTAAGACAGAAAATAGCCTTATTTAACTAGTTCTGGCATTTAATGAATTCTAAATTATTGATACGTGTCAATTAAATTAATCCATGCAACTCTAAGCAGAATATCAATACTGCTTGATTTGAAGTCAAGCTTTAATGAGAAACCATAAGCCAATATTTCCAGTAAGATGCCCTCCATTCAATTTGTACATCTAATTATCTCAAGAGGATTGGGTACAGTGGATTACACTCAAGCTGCTCATATCTGGGATTTCAATTGAAATCCAGCAGAGATCAAGGCAATAAGTCTCTTTGGCATGTAATAGCCCTAGGTGAGACAAGTTTGGGCAAATCACATCACACTTCCAAGTGGACCCACAGCTCGCAATCGCCATTAAGTGAGTCAAAGTGGCAATTTCGTCCCATGGTAGTTGTTGTGGCAAGAATAAAGTGTCACATAATTTATCCTCTCACGGTAGACCAAAGCACAATGCAAAAGCATAGTAGAGGATGGTTTAGAATGCATCTGAACTAAGTGTGCCTGACTTCTAAATACTTGATGACATCACTGATTGCCTAGAATACCCAATGCCTCATTTACAATGCCAGAATCTCTCAAACCTCAAGAGTCCAATGCTCAAACATTCACAAAACATAATATTTACAATACACGCAACTCATATATGCACAATGGATCACGGTCAACAGTTGAGGAACAAGCTAGAAAACTGAGAGCAGACAATAATATGAATGATTCAGGAAGATCTGTCTTTTCACAAGAAAAAAAAATCTGCTTTCAGAGGGTTAACATTCCTTAGCACCTTCAAAAGCAAGATTTTTGCTATTCCTGCGCAGCTGGTACAATTCTCCCCTGAGCATGCATAGACCAACTTACTATTAGCTTCTGCCCTGATGGGCATTATGTATAATGTGTGGCTGCAACAATATCATAGAGGAATTGGAAAGCTTTAAAAATAGATTGCTTTTGATACTAATAACTATCATTGAATTCTGCAATAATCCAAAGGTTCCCTAACAAGTTATTTACAAGGTATTTGATTCAGGAACTCAAAAATACATTTGATATTTAGTAGCTTGGTAATGGAGATTGTGCTTGATCTGGGTCCTCAGTTACTGAGGGAATAGATGTGGTTCCACTAACTTTGAGATAGCCTGCATTTCCAACCAGCTGGTAGAAAATAAATGTCTTATAAAAGAGACATTTAGCATGTGTTCAATGTGATATGGGCAAGAGTGATGACTTCAAACACAAATGCTTTGATATTTTCACAGTAAAGTCCCAAGTTGGAATCAACTGATTACTCATTCATATACTACTGAAATAGTACCATTATTGTCAAAATAAGGAAGGCCTATGATTTCCAGCTGCCCTCAGGTATGTAGCACTCGCAGCTTAAAAAGAGGGGTACTTATTTAGTCAGAACAACCCTAAAGAGTAATGCACCTTCCACATTGGAAAGGTACTTTTACAGCCAAAATGGAATGCAACCAGTTGCTAAAACAACAAGAAACATCAACTAACAAAATATAAACTGACTAGTGCATGGGTTATTAGAAACCTTATAGAAGTGCAACATGATAATGTTTCTTTCCATTTTCAATATTTCAAATCAGTACTTGCCCTAGCAAAATGAGAGAGATTTGGAACTATTCTGAGGAAGTAGGTGAGGGGCTTAATCTGTACTTCATATTGGTATTCACCAAGGAGGGCATGGATGATGGTAAGATTAAAGAGGGTAATGTAGATATTCTAGGACAAGTCAATTAAGGAGGGTGTTGGGTGTCTAGAAAAACATTAAGGTGGCTAAATCTCCAGGGCCTGATGGGATCTATTGCAGGACATGGAGGGAGGCAAGGGAGGAGATTACTGCGGCCTTGACAAATATCTTTGGATCCTTTTTAGCCACAAGAGAGGTCCCAGAGAACTGGATAATAGTCAATATTATTCCTTTGTTAAGAAGGGGATCAGGGACAATCCAGGAAATTGTATGCTGGTGAGCTTTATATCAATGGCAGGGAAATTATTGGAGAAGACTCTTAGGGACAGGATTTACTCACATTTGGAAAAAAATGGAATAATTGGGGATAGTCAGCATGGCTTTGTGAGGGGGATGTCTTGTCTTAAATTTGACTGAGTTTTTGACGAAGTAACAAAGAGATGAGTGATGAGGATAAGGCAAAAGCATGTTGTCTACATGGACTTGACCAAAGCATTTGAAAAGGTCCCTCATGGTAGGCTGGCACAGAAGATTAAGTTACATGGGACCTACATGAGTTAGTAAGTTGGATACAAAACTGGCTTGGTCATAGAAAACAACAGGTAGTTGCGGAAGGGTATTCTTCTGACTGGAGGTCTGTGACTTCTGTTGTTTTTTTACATATGTGTGCGCATGGCCAATCTATCTAACCTGCACATCTTACGACTGTGGGTGGAAACTGATTCACCTGGAGGAAACCCACACAAACACGGGGAGAATGTCTGTGTGGAGTTTGCACAGTCATCTTCAGGATGGAATCAAACCGGAGTCTCTGGTACTGTGAGGCAGCAGTGCTAACCACTGAGCCACCGTGCTGCCCTCATTTCACATTTGCGGAAGTTAAGATTCTTGCCAAGTTGGAGCTCATGCAAACAGTGTTATCTTAAGTCCTGATATCATGTAGGTCTGCCTTGGTTGAAAATGGACCCCAGTCCCACACCGGCACTTCCACATTTTGGTTGAAAATAAGGACCACCTAGACAGAGCTGCTTCAAAGTACTGCTCAAGTTGGTCACAATGAGAAGTGTCTATGCTCCAGTTGTAACAAGACCGATTTGTAAAGAAAGTGGGGACATAAGCACCAAAGCAATCAATCACTCTGTTCCTGGGAAGGTTTGAAGAGGATACAGGAAGCAGAACAGGAAAAGATTAACCAAGGCTGTTCCCAGGCCTTAACAATCTTGGGCATGAGTGTGCAATGTCACACCAGTAACAAGCTGGATACACGTCCTTGCCCATGAATAGCTTCTTACAACAAAGTGTGCAACACAATGTACGCAGAAAACTAACAGGAAAAACAAGCCTTGACTCTTAGATGGACGTGACAGCACTTTGAAATTTCTTGATGTATGTGGCATCACCATCAGTTAAGGGGCTTTAATCTAGATTCTCTCTCTGGGAATTTCAAATACAGTGGCTGTAAATCAACGATTAGATTGAAAATACACAATGGACTCTGCATAAGGAAAATATTTTTGCAACTGGGTTTTGTATTCAATCATGCAAGTGGTACAAATTCCCAAACTGTAATTTTTAGCAAGTGTTTGCTCAGTTCTCCTTCAATGCCTCAAATACAACGTAACTACACTACAGTTTCTCAGCAGTACAGCGGTCGTCAGTTTCCACAAAACTGATTCATCATCACTAAACACTCACTCCACTAAAATATTCTGCTTGTGTTGAGGCAGTTTTGCACTGCAGGTTCACCATAATGACAGTAACTATACTGTTCTCTTCTGACTTTATGTTTCTCAACGCCACCATACCTTTTCCAAGTAACAGTGTTATAAATGCTACATCATGATTCTGTTCAGCACCCAGACATACAAAAAAAAAAGTTGAAAGAGAGTTGGGAATGTTCAAAACAAATAGTGAACCAATCTGTGCCACATCTATTTATCTTAATGAATTAGTCCACAGTACATAAAAAACCTGATAAATGCTGCAGAATTTTACTGAGCTGACAAATGCAAATATGTGGATGATTTATTGACATATATACATATGGAGGTTGGTTGGCTCGCCGAGTTGGTTTGTTGTTCCACAGACGTTTCGTTACTGTGCTTGGTAACATCCTCAGTGCAGCCTCTGATGAAGCGTCGGTGTGTTTTCCCGCCTGGCTTTTAAACTCTGGGGTCCGTTGCGATGGATTGCCTCACTTCCGGGTTTCCTCCGTAGTGGAGTGTATATGGGGTCGAGTTCAATCTACTCCAAAACCTTATATATACACATATATTTACAGCAGGGGTTACTGGATGTTGATCACAAAGAATAAGTCCAGTCTTTCCCAGTCAGACTTTCCAATTGCTGTACCAGCTTGAATAAAGGGAATTCAGATAAGACCAAATGTTGGATTTAGAAGGTTCCTGACCCGAATTGTTGTAGGAACACAACAAATTGGAGGAGTAAAATATACATCCCCTTGAGACTACTCTGCTAATCAACACGATCATGATTGACCTTTTGGGTGAGTGAAGAATATTTCCCACGTTCCACTGCATAAATTGATTCCTCCTCTTAAGGCTGTGCCCGTATCCTAGAATGCCAACCACTACTGATCTTATTAAGTCCACTATGTCATTAATTGAGGAAGAACAACCTGAATTTAAATAAATCCTTGGCCATAAGAACATTCTTTTAGTCCTTCTCAATGAAGAGCAAGGAAGAAAATGGACATCAAGACATAGGTGGAATTGTTTGGTTAGAAGTGCTGAAGCTTGACCAAATAAAAAGCTTTAAGGTGTCAAAGGAAGGGAGGGAGGTTAACTCCATAAGATGGCATAGCC